TGTACCATTGTCACTCACAATACACTCTGGCACACTGAACCGTGCAAATAGTTCATGCAAAAAAGTTGTTGTGGTATTGGACGTAGGCTTTTTACAGCGTAGTACTTCCGGCCATTTTGTAAAACTATCTACCACTATTAAGTAGTAAAGATATTCTACTGGACCAGCGAAATCAATGTGTAATCTTGTCAACGGATGATCCGTCTTGGGCCATGGTTTGTGTACTATAGGTGGTGCCTTAGCTGCTAACGCACACCCCTTTACATCGATGAACCTTGTTTTCGATATCCACATCCATTCCTTTCCAATACACAAAAGCTTCGCATTAAGCTTTTGTTCTATTAATACCCGGGTGACCCATATGAAAGTCCCGAAGTATTCTTTTCTGCAACTTTTTGGTATTACTACTCTCTCACCATATAATAAAACTCCGTCACCTATTGAATAAATCTCCTGCAATTTTGTTCATTTGCTACCATTTTGCTTTTAATTTCTAAAATGAAATCATCGCTTTCAGCTTCTTTTTTAATTTTCTTTAGCGTAACCGGTAGCTCTCTTACAATGTTGTTTACCATGCTTTTCACCTCATAATCTGCTCTGATATTTGCAATAATTGATTCTTCGAATCTTTCTTCTTGACTCGGTACTAGTCTTGATAAACTATCCGCATGAATTATCTTTTTGGATGATAGGTGCTTTATGTGAAAATCATAATTGAGAAGAATAGTTCCCCATCTTAACAGACAATTTGCTGTATAAACGGGTAACCCTTTCTTTGAACCAAAAATAGTGATCAGTGGTTTATGATCCGTTTCAAGGATAAAATGTCTGCCGTGGATGTACCTGTGAAATTTTTGTATGGCAAAATGATACTCAGTGCCTCTTTTTCTATCTGAGAGTAACTTTTTTTTCCTGGAAGCAAAGTTCTCGAAGCGTGTGCAATTGGTTTTCTAGAACCATCTGGCATTATGTGTTGAATACACGCTCCTATCCCGTATGAACTAGCGTCACCTGCCACTACAATATCCAGTTTTGGATTGTAATGGGTTAAAAAGAGGTCGGACGTAAGCATTTTCTTTTATTTCATCAAAGGCTTTCTGACATTCTACCGTCCATTATCATGCCTTGTCTTTTTTTTCAGCAGTTCATTCAACGGAGCTCTAAAATTGTACATTCCTTTAATGAACCCTTGATAATAATTTGCAAGCCCTAGAAAACTTTGTAGCATCGCCACCACATAGTGGGCGTCGGCATGTCTCTAATCGCAATGGACCTTTCCGGATCTGGACATCTGCCATTTTTGTTGATTATGTGCCCTAAATACTTTATTTCCTCCAAACCAAATTCGCACTTTGACTCTTTGACTTTAAATCCAAAGTCCTGAATCTTTTAAATACTTGATTGAGATGCTCTCGATGTTCGTCGACCGATTCGCTCCTTACTATGATGTCGTCTCAGTAAGCGCACGCAAAGTCTAAATCATTCAGCATGACGTCCATAGCTTGTTGAAAAATGGCTGGTGACACTTTAATACCAAAAGGAAGCCTGTTGTACTTGAATAACCCTCTATGCGTGTTTATCCCTAGTAACTTCGAACATTCCTCTTCGACGGGAATTTGAAGATAGGCATCTGATAAGTCAATTTTGAAAATATAACTCCACCATTTAGCTTGTTAAAAATCTCCTCCGGACTCGGTAACGGGTAATGGTAGTCCTTAATTACCGAGTTCAACCCTGTCGAAAAATCAACGCAGACTCTGACTTGGTTTGATTTCTTTTTTATGCACACAAATCGGCGCAGCCCATGAATTAGATTCTACTTTCGAAATAATTCCCATTTTTTCCAACCTATCAAGTTCTTCGTTAATTTTCTCTACACTTGCAGAAAGGCACATTACGTTTCTTTTTAAAAATTGGCATAGTATTTTCCTTTAATTCGAATTTGGCTTCAAACTTGTTACATCTTCCAAGACCAGGTGTGAAAGTTTCTGGAAACTTTTTCTTTAATTCCTCTTTAATGTCCTGTCTTGTTTGCGTATTACTTTCTACTTTTCTGCAGAAAGAGTTTAACGATTTATCCCACAATTCGAATGTTTCAATAAAATCTGTACCCATCAAGTTTTCTCCATTTTTCAGAATGAAAACTTTTATTTTTTTAACTATCCCGTTCAATTTCATGGGAAGTACAACCTCACCTTCGAATTTAATTTCCTTTCCAGTCACTGTTCGAGCGCGTTTCGTTGACTTCATTATTGTAGGCCTTTTTAAAATTTTCCATGTTTTATAGTTCATTATTTTTAAATCTGAACCCGAATCGAGTTGAAATTTGATATTCTTTTTAAATATTTCAGTCGTCACATACTTCCTCAAATCTCTATCTGATTTGATATTTGAATTTGTTTGTCTAATTTGGCTATTGACTTTTTTCGTTTTACAACACGACCCTTTGTGACCATTATTGTGGCACACGAAACATTTTTTATTTCTATATGGGCAATTTACCTCCCAGTGTCTTTCGTTGCACTGTCTACAATTAAATGGTGGAACCATTTTTTTTCTCCTCATTCTTTTCATTTAATTTTTCTTGTCTATTTTAAAATACGCCGAATTTTTACTCCAATTTTTTTCTGATGGGTAATTTGACTGTTTTTTCACTTTTTTTAATATAAGCAATACCAGCTTCTTCAATTTTTGAGACTCTTTCTTTAAACTTACGGCCCGCTGACACTCCTCTGCTAACCTTTGCAGGGTAAGGTTTTGTTCAGATTCGAGTTTAGACAAAACTCTACGTCTTATTTCGGCACTCTTACTGGATACCAGTCCTTGAGCAAAAAAATTAAACACTTGAATTCTTCAACCGTAATCTCTGCCAATCTGAAATTGTCACAATGTCTATTGACTATAGATGCATAAGTTAAGTAATCCTGATCGTCGGATTTAGCGACATTCATGCATAACCATCGCTTATGCCAAAGCGACATATTTGCTCCAAACAACTCCTTTAGCAATTTCACTGTTTCCGAGAATTCCAATTCATTTGTTCTTCTCGGTAGAATAAAATCTACAAATTTGCTATGTTCCGCTGTACCTAGCTTTCTTAGTAATAGACTGACTTTTCTTGAATTCGACCAGTTTTCACAGTCTGTGTAGAAAATATCTTCATATCGTTTAAAGTACGCTTCAAACGTTTTTCCTTCGTCTGGCCCATAGTTGAAAGTTTCCAATGAATTAAATATGATGTTATTAGAATATGAAGAGTTACTTTCATTTGTCTGATTGTTGTTTAATTTCTCCAGTGTTAACTTTTGAATTTCCAAAACCTTGACATACATTTCTTCCTGTTCCCTTTGACGTTGCTGACTCAACTCCTCTTGCTTTTCTTGATAATTCTGCTGTGCTAATTGCTGTTCTCTTAATAAGGCAAACTGTTCACTTTGTTGTTGCAGACTCAACTGCTGGGCTTTAAACAATTCAGCTATGACTTTGGATAATTCCTCCATCTTTAGCTGATAGTGTTCATGCAACAAAGAATATACTTTTAAATTGTGTATCCACGAATATACTATAAGCAGACAAAAAAAAAATCGAAACAACTTCCGCCTTTTTTTAATTTTATGTCTTGCTTTATAAAATATTGTTGAGCAACAAACAAAAAAAAAAAAAAAAATTTTTTTTTTTTTTTTTTTTAAAATTTTGTTACCTTTCAAAATCGACACGTTGTATTTGTGCTCCTTTTTCGTTCCATGCATGTTTTTTTTCCATTCGGCCAGCTTTTTTTTTTTTTAATTCGCCGTTATTTGTTTACGCCACCTTCCAGATTTTTCTGAGTGAACGTTCCTTTATGCTTAGTCGTCCTTTAACGAGTTTTAGTTTTTAACTGTCCAGAACTTCAGAATACTTTTTTCTGAGTTCCATTAGATGTTCGACTTTTAATTAATGATTTTTTTTTTCTTCAGCCTGGGTTCTTCAAACTTGTCCCAATTGTTGAAAGCTATCAATTATTAATTTTTTTTTTTTCCGTAACGTAAAGTTCTTTATACCTTTTTTTTTTTCATTGTTGAAGCTTGGATAAGCATGGAATAATAATAATACAACACAAAATGTACGTAAACAAAATGTATTGAAACAAGGAAAAGGTACACAATATTTACTGTTAGTTTTGGTATATTCTTGGGAAGACTGTTCCTGTAGAATGGGTTAACTTAATCGCAGTCGGGCAGAGTCTCTCGATTGGATTTCTTCTTACTTCTTCCCGGTACCAACCCATATTTATATGGTCGGTCCTCCACTATGTAAATTAGGTGGATCGTACCACAACAATTAGGTACCCCATACCTTTTGGGAGCTGTGAAAAATTAAATGGCTGACAATGCCTCATTTAATACAAAAATTCAAGATAATTACTAATGTAATAAAAGCAAGAAAAATTAAGATGAAAGAAAATCTTATCAAAAATTAACATTAGTTGCCAATATTTCATCTAATGGCAAAAACATTCAAAATAATATTACATGCATGTGAATTTAAGATGAAAGAAATACTAAAATTGATAACTGACAATACTTCATCTAATAAAATTCAAGCTAATATTACGACTAATATTAGTACAAATAAAGCAACTGAAATTAAGATGAAAGAAAGACTGGTCAAAAATCAATAACAATTGACAATGCTTCATCTAATAATAAAATTCAAGCTAATATTAGTACAAATAAGTTGAAAGAAAGACTAGTCAGAAATTAATAATAATTGACAATGCTTCATCTAATAATAAAATTCAAGCTAATATTAGTACAAATAAGTTGAAAGAAAGACTAGTCAGAAATTAATAATAATTGACAATTCTTCATCTAATAATAATTTAAGTTTTATATGATTTTATTTTGGATGATCCTCAAGTGTTTCATCTTTTCATTGAATTTTTGATTTATGTGTTTGGCATAGTTTTTTTTGGTGTAATGCAGTTTTCTCTTCATTTTTTTCCGTTGTTTCTCTTCTAGGTTTTCAGACTTGAGTTCCGAGAACATCAGTGAAGAAAAGCTATCTTTGCCGAGTAGTCAATACAAGGACATGAGTGCCTACAATACATCAAAACTTTGCAACATTTTGTTTGCAACAGAATTAAACCAACGCTTGCTGCCACTTGGAGTAACTGTGAATGCACTTCACCCTGGCAACATGATGAGCTCTAATTTGGCCCGTAACTGGTGGGTTTATCGCCTCCTTTTTGCAGTTGTCCGTCCATTCACAAAGACCATGGTGAGTTCAAAGAGAAGACTCAGTATGAGATTTTGTTTTTGCAAGCTAAGAATTAAATCCTTGTTCCTGCAAGTTGTTTGTGTCTTTAGGTTGATTTTAGTTCTTCTTATGTAACCATTTTTATTCAAACTGTTTCATTCTGCTACCAAATCTTTTCTGATTTCTTTTTATTTTTTTGTCAGTTTGTCTACATATATTTCAGTGTGAGTGATAATTGCCATAGGATAATAACTGAAATGAGATTTTCTACAGTATGTTGCATTGCTTAGATTTCAATATGTTTTTTAATGGTAATTGCAAAAATAGACATTTCTATATAGAGAACATTCATCATTCATTGATGGAACAATTAGAATTACTATCAGTTGAAATTCATAAAATCCATTTTTTTAAAAAAAATTTCAGGAAAATAGCCTTCTTAAGTTCACTGTTATCATTCTTTCTAGTATTGATGGAAGTTTCCTTCCTAACCTTTTGTTTCAAGTAGCATGGAAGTCAACATTTTTATTATACCATTTTTCATTCTAGTTATATGTATTATTCATTTTAGTTGTTGCTACTGTTGAAAGTGTTCAATTAATATGGTTTTTGAGTGCTTCATTTTCTATGGCTTATCAACTTCTTGCAGGTTATTTAAAGGCAGAAAATATTTTTAGACTGGAAGAATTTTTTTTGAGATAATAAGGATTTAATGATACAAGTCTTACTAATTAACACATAGCTTAGGGGAGAAGAAGTGGATTCATACCTTTCTTCAAGAGTATTTGCATGTAAATAAATATAATGAACCCAAGTGGAATTGGAACTCTGCTCACTGATTTCCAATTCTGAGCTGGTATTCATTGCATCACCCATACATCCAAGTTTACAGCACCTGGTTTTCCCAAGTGGTCATATATCTAAGTAACTGACTCGGTAAGACATTGTTTAATTTCAGTGATCATAAGGGAATTGGTGTTTCAACATGATATGGCCATAAACCGATGTGGTTTTTGTTATTTGCTAAAGCTATTTGAGGTTCTGTAATACCAGTTTAAAAACAATCAAAACTAGAAAACTTCTTCACTCCACAATCTACTGATTCTTCAGTGTCTCTTTTCTATTGGTACAATAACTATAATATTACTTACGACATTAATAACATCAAAAGAGTTTTCACTGAATGCAGTGAATGACCCAAAAGTTTAGATAAAGCACATTTCATTTTTCTCTCTCTCTCAATGTTATGCCTATTATATCTGCAATCATGTTCTTCCTTTTCTGCTGTTGCCTTCACAACAGTTTTGAATTCAAAGTAGTCTTTCTCTTAGACTAGCTGCCACCCAAGGATAGAGAAATCAGCCTCCTCTTTTATTTAATCTATAATTGAAGAGAGAAGAGATGGATTCATACCTTTCCCAAGGGTGTTAGTGTGAAAGTGAATACAACAGACTAAGCTAAAATTTGAACTTGGCTCTACAATTTGACTTTTGGCACTAATAACCTTTCCACTACCCACACATTTCATTACCAAGTGAATATAATGTTATCATATTTGCAATTATAATGTTTGCGAGCAGAATTAAAAAAAAAAATTTGCTAGTTTCATTTTCGTCCATTTTAAAAACTGAAATATGAACATGCTAATGTCTATCTAAATGCAAAGCAAAGATTACAGCTCCACACATTCAGAAACTTGTTTGCAAATATAATTTTTTTAAAAATGCAATCTACTCTGAAAAACATATTTGCTAGTGATCAGAATTAAAATAATAAAATGTTGATTTTTTTCTGAAAATGCCCACATTAGTCACAAAGTCTTATCTATCATTCTGAGACTGATTTGAATAAACATTATTCATAAGTGTATTGGGAAATTATACCATACCAACACATTACTTATATATATATATATATAATATAGTTAATGACAAAATTATTCGTACACCCATCAATTTTGAATATTTTTATCCATTTCTCAGAATCTAATGCTTGTATGGTGACAGGTTTTTTATATGTTAAGAAGTGCAAAGAAAAAAAAAAAGGAATATAAAACTCAATTTTCAGAACAGTATGTTAGATACAACAAATTTGACAGGCGAATTATACCAAATAGGAAAAGACAAAATTATTTGTACAGTAAATTCAATGTTTTTAGAGTTATTTGGATCTTTCCTTATGTCCATTTTTAAAAATAATTTCATTTCTTTGGTTCAACAGTTGGCCAGCATTTTGCATTTAATTGTTTTTTTTTTCCTGTAGGTATAGATTGCATCTATTTGTTGGGAGTTTGTGATCAACAGATCTCATATATATATATATATATATATATATATATATATATATATATATATATATATATAGGATTAATACAAATATAAAATTTGTTAGCTGATGGATGTTACCTTCAGCATCCTGACTCTAGGGTTTTATAGATGGACCTTCCATGGAAAGTGATTAGACCAACAATATTCCTTAGTTCCAACCATCACAACTAGGATTTGCCATGCTACACACATAGTAGTAAAACATTGTCATTCTGTCCATATTCCATTGATGAAAAGTAATTTCCACTTGAGCAGCTTCTTCCTACGAAACACTGCTCTGTGTAACCGACTCCCAAAAGGATATTTTCCTGATCACTACAATCGTGACCTGTTCATGTCTAGGGTTAACCATTGTCTTCCCCACATATCTGTATAAATTGTGCCTCTTACTCTGTAACCCTCTACCTCGAGTGGCTCTCGGGCCTTGTACAGAGTGAACTTCACTGTAAAAAAAAAATGGATTTACACTTAATCACAGTTCAATTGAAAACTATTTTTTAGGGTTATAAGTTTTTTTTTTTAAACTGACAAATCCTATTGCCCAACGAAAGAAGGAAAGAGAAAAGGAGAGAAGAACTAGTAAAAGGTACTTGAAAGAATAAACATCAAATAATTAATGTGGTGTTTATTATTCAAAATTATAAAACATATTGGTCTGTACCAACCCATGCAGGAAGATTTCTTATGTGTGAAAATATTTTTTGGAGTCTGTTAAATGTTATTTGAACAGTGAACTGAGTATTAAATACAAATGTCTCCTCTTGTTAGTTAAAAAATCATTTTGCACTCATAGTTTTAAAAATTACATTGGTAACAAAAGTACAAAATGTTTAAAAAAAAATAAAATATCTATGTACCCATTACAATCAATATCTAGTTCATTTGACAAATGATTCGTGTTCAGTTACAGTAACAATATATTAGTTACATTTTAAATTAAATTGATATTGTTGTTTACTTAGTATCGACCAACAACAAATTCCTTTTACTTTCTATGTCATAACTGTTGTGGGTTGATTTTGTGCAATTTATTGCTTTTCATGGGAAACTTTATTTATGTCTCTGAAAGCACAAATGGGAAAGTTATAGCGTCTTAAGAATTTAATGTGTCAGGGACACACTAAATGTGTATTTGGGCAGCAGTCCCTCTTTTATACAAGTTTCAATAAAGGTTCACCCTGTACAAGGCTTGAGTGCCATTGGGGTAGAGGGTTATGTTAAGGGGTAGTTTATATGAATAGGAGGGAAAGATAACAGTTGACTTTAGACTTGAACAGGTTAAAATTGTGGTGGTTGTAGAAACATCCTCTTGGGAGTCTGTTCCACACAGGCAGTGGTTTGTGGGAAGATGCTGTTTGAGCAGAATATACATCTTGCCAATGGAGGAAATGTGGGTGGTTTGCGATGATGTGGGTGGTATTGTGGTTCCTAGTCATGAAGGTTAGACCAGGCAGAACCAAGGAATGTCGTTCATCCAAGCAGTTTCCATTGAAATAGAGCAATGAGAAACTTACCACATCCAGCCTGAGAGAGAATAGAAGGTGGAAAATAATTCTTCTCCAACAAGGACAGAGGCTCTTTTAAACTCTATCAAGAATGCAAATTGAGTGAATGAAACTTTTGTGTGTATATATTTCTTAAGAATTAATGGATTTATTTTAAATCTGACATTTTTATTACTTCAAACTTTATTATAGTAGACACTTCTTATTTAAAATAGATGATCCATTTTTATTTATTTATTAAGTTGTGTCAATCTGCCTGCACATTGAGAAATGTAAGTAACTATACTCATGTACACACATATGTATATATGTATAGTTAAAATCTGCTATATTTATGGCAGAATATTACTCAATCTTGAGGATAGAACATAAATATAAACAGTGTGGAGAGAAATCAACAGCCCATATCTGTTTCATACCTCAAGTGATCTTCAGACATGAATTACATATATATAATAATAATAGTTGGCTACTCATTTCCATGCACACCTGTCTGCTAAGGCAGTGAACAAATACCTATTGCAAAAGCCTACTCAGGCACATTTGTATTTGTTCAATGCCTGCAGAGTTCACCTGTGGTTGATACTGCAATGATGCTGAGCAGACCTTGATTACTGTTTCTGGGAGAGAACACATAGTCAGACATGGTAACCAGTTAGAACTAGATCAGTACACACAAACACCTAGTCATGAGGATGTAACTGTGCTACCACAACTCTTGACCGATTTTGAATAGTTCCATCTACCCAATTTAACTCACATTGCTTGGATAAATCTGAGGTTTGATTTTCAAGCACTTTTCAATGGTGCCACATGCTTGGATCACTTCTTCAAGCTGATAAAACCAAGAAGACACATCCCTAAAAAATCAACCATGGTGAGATTTGAACCTGGTCCTCATGGTCACTTATTGAACATTCTAACCACTCAGATAACACCCTTAAGTGTGTTGAAAAGTTCTCAGTCTACCCAAAAAAGATTACTAAAATTTGGATGTTTGGTCATTTGGGAGATGAACAATTTTTTCAGCATACCTTGTGCGTGTGTGTGTGAGTATATAAGACATTTTGGAAGAAAAACTTTTATTCAGATATGTTTTGATGATTACCTATCTCATCAGAAAAATGCTTTTTTTTTTTTTACAAGAGCAGAATCTCCAAGAATTGGTGGCACATTTGTGAACACAATT